CAAATTGGTATTAAAGCTATTGGATTATTATATATTTATTTAGTTGATAATTATAAAAAATAAAATATATAATTATATTATTTTTTTTATAATTATAGATTTTTTAAATATGATAATTTTGTTTTACAGAATGATTATTTAGAGTTTTAGACGAGTCAAGTTAACTCATGAGTCAGATAAGCTGAGTCAAGTTTAAATCAAGTTGAGTTTATATTTTTTTGACTCGATAATTTGCAAGTCAAGCCAAATTCAAGTTGAGTTAAATATTTAACTTGACTCAATTTAAACTTGACTTGATTCGAGTTGACTCGAGTTGACTTGAACGATAAAAAAAATCGTTCAAGAAGAATGATAACAAATTGTTCAATTTGAACGATAAAAAAATCATTCTACTTGAACGATAAAAAATCATTCAAGTCGAATGATAACAAATCGTTCGACTTAAATGATAAAAAAATCGTTCAAGTCAAATGATAACAAATCGTTCGACTTGAACGATAAAAAAATCGTTCAAGTCAAATGATAACAAATCATTCAATTTGAATGATAAAAAAATCGTTCGACTTGAACGATAAAAAAATCATTCAAGAAAAATGATAACAAATCATTTGACTTGAACGATAAAAAAGCGTTCAAGAAGAACGATAACAAATCGTTTAACTTGAACAATAAAAAAATCATTCGATTTGAACGATAACAAATCGTTCGACTTGAACAATAAAAAAATCGTTCAAGTCAAATGATAACAAATCGTTCGACTTGAACGATAAAAAAATCATTCAAGAAGAATGATAACAAATCGTTTGACTTGAACGATAAAAAATTGTTCAAAAAGAACGATAACAAATCGTTTGACTTGAACGATAAAAAAATTATTCAAGAAGAATGATAACAAATCATTCGACTTGAACAATAAAAAATTGTTCAAGAAGAACAATAACAAAATCATTCAACTTGAACGATAAAAAAATCATTTAAGAAGAACAATAACAAATTATTTGCTCCCCTTCTTTCTCCCTCCCTTTCCCGATCTTTTCATTTTTTTTTATTATTTTTTATTTTATTTTTTTATTAATTAAATGTTTATAAAAATTTAAAATTGACTTATAACTTGATTTGAACTTGACTCGATTTGAATAAATTCAAGTCAAAATCAAATCGAGTTAAAATCAAGTCAAGTCAAATTGAATTGAGTTTAAAATTTATATAACTCGAATTAAATTAAATCGAAAAATTTTATAAAATAAATTTGACTTGACTCGACTTGAAAAAAATGAGTAGAATAGAGTTGGTCTTTAAACTCAACTCGACTCGACTCATTCAGAACTCTATGATTGTTAAGCTTTCTTTTCAAATCAATAAAATCATTTCATGATTATATATAATCAAAGCATAGTTTTTTATACGCAGATACGATTTTTACAAATTTTGCATTGTTAATTTTGTTAAATTGAATTGATCAGTTAAATAAGATAGATTTACAATTAGAGTGTGTAGCAAATAAACCATATAGATCCTTTGCAATAGAAAGAGGGAAACTACCTTATAGTAGTTTTTGAGATAATCAGTTTTTATGAAATAAACGAAGGAGGTGAGGTAATACTAAAAATAAAATGTGCGATCGACTCATAAATTGCGAATATTGATCATTGCCAAAGTAAAGAATACAAGCAATATTCTTTACAATAGAAAAGGGGAAAACAGCTAGAAAAATTGTTACTGAATTTGCTGAATTTGCTAATTAATACTGATTTTTTTTTTTAGCGAAGGCTTTTGTTAAAATAGATTTTAGAAGGCGACTTTTATTTAATGGTAAGTGATTTTTTTATTTTATTTTATTTTTTTTTAGGAAATTATTAATGTTTCTTTTCTTTTTTTTCTTTAGCAGTGGTCTTGGATTTTGACAAGGTGGAGGGAGGGTTCAGCTTTCGTTTAAATGGTGAGTGAACTGAACTTTTTTTTTTGTTTTAGAAACATTATTAAATCAACTCATAAGTTAGGTAGTTTTAAATCTATAAATAAATATGCGGTTTTTTATGAATTATTTGAATTATTTAAAAATTTTATTATGTAACCTGTCCTACTTTAATATACCAAAAATATTTCTCTAACCACATTATATTAAATGTTCTCATTGGTTCATTTTTCATTTTTTCAGCTGTTTCCCCCTTTCTATTACAAAGGGCCTATATAATAATTTAAAGTTCAGGTAAAAGATTTGTCTCATCAGGACAGTGAAATTTTATTTTATTTAAAAAAAAAGTATACTTAAAGGAAATGGTAATAAGTAAAATTTTAAAGTAATGTTCTGTTAAATTTTTAATTCTTTAATGCACTCTAAATTAAATAATTAACAAATTTAAATTCAAAATTAACAAAATGTTTGATAACAACATTTAATTTCTTTAGAAATAATATCCCAAGAAAACTTTCTTCCATTTCTCTTAGGTTAATGATTAGAAAACAATTGGAAAATGTATGCTATTTTCAAATTTTTTTTTTTAAAAAAATTCCGCTTAGATCATATGATTTTTTTGTAAAACTTTAAATTTTTCTAAAGATAAAGTTTAGTGTAATAGCCGTTGTGGCATTTTCTAATCTCATTCAGAACGAATGGAAACAAACATGTGAAATTGTGAAAAACTGTCCATCCCATCATCTGCATCTATGATCAAGTGATGTTAATTTTTATTTAATTTTTTTTTTAATACAAAGGAAATGTACGAACGCCATTGATAATAAAAAAAGAAGGAAATGTTTAAATATCAAACGAGCCATACAACTAGTGTGGATTTTTTTTTTAAAAGATTACTGTATCTTTTGACGCGTTACGATATCACAAATTAGATATCACATGATTTTGGTCAAGGTGCCATGATGATGGATCGAGAACGATACATTTAAAACGGGATTTGGCTGATGTCCTGATCCGATCTAAGAAGTGAATAAAGTTACATAATTAAATAATGCAAAGATGAGAAAATAGCATGTTTAAGTGAGGAAAATACGGTATTTGTATAAAAATGGGATGTTAATAAAACTTTTAATGAGTTGTAGAACAAACAATTTCTTTTATCCGTCATTGAAGTCGGAAAGATAACGAAACGATTTTCATTTTTCACGAATTCGAACAACAGAATCTAAATTCTTTATGTTTGTCATTTTTACTTCTTTTCACAAACATTCGAATGTTCCTAACTCATTGCATTCGAATATATTTATTATAATAAAAGTAAGGAATTCTTGAAGGTTGTGTAATTATTATCTTTGACAAAATCAATCTCTAAATAAAAAATTAATTTATTAATTATATTTATTTACATTTCAAAAAGGTGAACCACGGATAAGACAAAGAAAAAAATAATGGAACCTCAACGCTTTATATTTTATTACTGTTAGGGACTGTCCACAAATATGCTCATGAAACAATATAAAAAAGGATTGACAATTCTTCAAATTGTTTACCTCGAAAAAACGGGACTTTTTTTTTTTTTATTAAGATTAAATGCATTTTTTGATTTTAAATCACGGGACCACAAAATTTTCTTAATATCGATCGATTTTTCGATTAAACAACACTTTTTTTTTTCCTACTTTTGGCATCGGTTTCAAACTTTTTATTTGTGCAAAAGGTTTAATTAACCGGTTTTATTTTTGTGAAAAAAATTTTCATTATAAAATGAACCTCTGTAAACCCTTTCAAAAGAGCAAATTTTCATATTAAAAATGTAACCCTCTTAAATTCACAGATTTTTCACGTTCGTTCAAATAGAACGAACTCATAACGACACAATAATAACCCTTAACAAAAGGTCAAAAGTAAAATTGTAAAAAGTAGAAATGTAATTATATGTACCTTTGAATTTTGACATTTCAAATAGTTCGAGTTTCATGTATTATAACTATCCGCGAACTGCTGGGAAAAAAGGATATCCGACCAAATGTTAGAAAGCAGATACTGCTGTGCAAGAGGAGTAATATTCGGCAAACAGAAATATCCGACCAACTGCTTGACAAAATGAGTCAAACAGGTCAGTCAAAAGTTTGGCTTCATTAACTCTCTATTTTATCAGTTTTAACGCTCAAACATTTACCACTTCAGGTTTTCACAATGCACCTATAACGAAAGAACTCTCAATTGAATAGGAGGATGCCATTAGTTGTGTATAATCTTGGAGTAAATGAACGACTATCCGGATCGCAGTACGTAATAAATTATCAAGTTCTGAATTTGATTATTTGGTCGAATTTGTTTAACTATGTCAACGCGTATAGGCATTCTTTTTCGTATCGTCCGCGTTACCAACATTTCTAGCTTGCAATTGGCAAGCGATTTTGGACATTTATACTCTCAGGATCATACCATTTACTGAGCTTTTGGATGTATGTATTGTTTGAGCTTTATACCGGTGAGCTTATGTTAGTAGTTAAGCATTTTTAAAAACCTTTTTTACTGATTATAATTGACTAAATATTTCTTTTTATATTAGTTTCTTTAATTTCAATATCCATCCTCGATTGTCGCCGTTATATGCGGGCTTTATCATGACTTTCCTTTATTGACAAGCCCTGAAATGAAAAAAAAAGGAAAAAAAAATATATTCGAGAATGGAAAAGTACTTGGAATAGAATGCCTTGGTTTCAAGGGTGCTAATGGTTTGACTGGGTACGTATATTTATTTGTATCCGTTGATTTTAAAAACAAAATTTAAATTAAATCATTTTTAATTAAATGTTAGGATTCAAATCGTAATTAACAAATTGTGAAAATTGCCGAAAGGGTTGCAAATTTTGATAAAATCAACGGAATTTTGCGCCCAAATCATTAAATATGTGGAATTTTTATTAATAGTTATCCAGGTATGAATTACCGATCCAAAGAATTTCGATTCTTTTGAAGTTTGAAATTTATTTTTATATATATATATATATATAGTCTAAATTTCCATTTGCATTCACTTATATCTGATAGGAAAATCAGTTTTATTTATATGACGACGATGATGTGGGAACGTGGCAACACCAGCTCGCCTTCGATTGTTGAGGTAAGTTTCAATATCAACTTTTATTCTCGTTTTCTTTATTCGTTATATTAATCAAAACATCGATCGTGAATCACAGGGTACCCTAACTCCAACAGTATCGATCATACAATCGCCCACGGAAGCATCAACGCTTCAACCATCAGAGACGGAAACCGAAACTACAAGTTTCTTGAAACCCATTACCACATCTATCATCAATACTTAAATCGCATCATTATTTCGTGATGTCTCTCTTACATCAGCCCGGCAACTGGGCAAGAAGAATATCCGAATATAGCTGGGCAAAAAAGTATCCATAAAGAAATTGGAGTATATCTGGATAACGGCTGGTCAAAAAAAGGATCAGGGTGCTGCTGTGCAAATGGAGTATCTGGCGGATCCGGCGAGAATAAACTGTGGAACCAATGATCTTCCTCAATTAATAATAACAGTTTCATCATCTTGTCATTCACCGCTAGATGCTTTCAACAAAAAATAAAACACAAATAAAAAAAATTTAATTATCTTTGAAATTGTTACTAAATGATCATTGATCAATTGATATCTACTATTAATTTTATAATAAAAAATACTTTGTTTTAAAAATTACAATAAATCGAAAGCTTCACGTTTTTTTTGATTGAAATTTTTAGTAATAATTATTTCACGGGGAACTATGGTTTCACGGCTGCGCCGTGAAGATCATGATATTCCATATTTGCCTAAACCTCTCTAATAAGAATTTCTTATTTTTATCTCTTGCACGAATCGATACCTTTACTATTAAATTGCACTGCTCATTTTTTTTTATCTTTAAACTATATTTTAAAAGGTTGCGAGAACTACAGTTTTTGGAAAAATGACAGTTTCAATAGTTCCTGTACTAACATTCATCTAAAATAAAAAAATAAAAAAATAATCTTATCAATTTATCATTCATTTTTTTACATCACTCGCTTCTCATTTCAACAGTTTTTTAATATTAAACTTAACATCAACTTTTTTTATATATAATTATTAGCTTGTTAAAAGGTGAATTTATTCGATCTCGTAAATTACGAAATTAATAATATCTATCGTTTGTAAAAAAAATATGGTAGATCGCATCTTGATCTATGAACAAGAAAATAGAAAACATGTAAGGTATGGTGACCTATGTATGTATGTATCGAGACCAATGTATAGCTAAGTATGGTAATATTTTCATTATTCGTAGAAATATGACGGATGTATCATGCATCCCATACATTAGTCACCATACATACATACATAGGTCACCATACCTTCATGTTTTCTATTTATCGTTTACGAACATGTCAGTAAAGTAAAACCTTCCATACATTTACCGTAATCTAAAAATAATTGGATACAGAAAAGGAATCCTATAATGAGCGAAGGATTATAAGGGCCGCTTCAAGTCCAATTTTACAAATCATTTACCATAATTTTCTTAATTCAAGTGAAATTAATCTAATGCTAAAAAGAATAACAATTAACAAAGAATTAAAACAAAAATTGATCGACAAAACCAAAAATAAACTAATAAACTTATGTTCATTTTCTAGTCTTAAATAGTTAGAACGAAATAAAGTACGGAAATCAAAAATTCAAAAAAAGGTTCATAGTGGACTTGAATGGTTAGAGAAATAGGCAAGGCATAGATAAATTCGGATTTCTATTAATAACATGTATAAACAAAATTGAAATTAAAAATTATTTTGAAACAAAATAAAAAGCCTCAACTAAAAAGAGAAGCATGATTACTATAGAAAGTTAAATAATACGGAAAATTAAGTCCTTGATAACATGTATAAGAACTTCGACAAATTGAAATAGAAAGAAAATAAACAAGCCTTGAAGAACAACAATCATTGAAATAAAAAATTCAAAAAGATTCAAAACAAAGTCTATACCTTTTTATTATCTTATTTCATAATGAAAGTCATATCTTATGATTACAACCCAACTCCAAAATTTCTTTCAGGCAGTGTCGAGAGTATGAAAGAAATGACTGACATATCCTTAGAAAAAGAAAAACGTCGTATTGAAGCCCTTAAGCTTTTAAAAGAATCTGCAGGGATTTTGGGAATTATCACGGGAGTAAATTTCATTGGTAAGGAAAAGGAAAATATTACTAATTCATTCACGGTGCTCGGTTCACTACTTGGTATTGTTGATACAAAATTATCGTTCTACGAACGATACACAAATAGAAAAATTGAAAAAAGTATCCTCGAATTTGCTGTTAATGATATAAATGCCGAGATTAGAGCTATTTCTAGTGGGGTTGATCGAATTAAAAACTATAATAATGATAACGATCGGAAACTTGAAGTAACAGTTTTAATTCATTCCTGCGAAAAGGTTTTAAATAAATTTGAAAATCCACAACATATTTTTTATAAACACCCGCTTATCACTACCCCATGCTTAATCGGTTTTTGTCAATTATACCTTACAATAATTGAGGTTGGCGTCATTGTCATGTCAGCATCTAATAATTATAATTATGAAAGACAAAAAATCAAAAAAGTAATTGAAGAATACAAAGTGAATTCTATAAATGACCGAACCGAAATGATTAAAATTAAGAAATCATCGAAATGCATTGGTTATGATAGTCATATGATTAAAGAAGGTGTGATGACCTATATGGCATCCCTAAATTTTTCCGAAACGTACAAGCAGATAACAGAGAATGATTTCATTCGTAATGTGGATGAGTTTAAAGATGCACTTTATAACGAGGAAAAGCCAGATCGAGTATATATTTGGGATCGTGCAGTCTGGGATAAAAAACAAGGGTCTAAAAACAATTATAGTTATATTGACGTTGTACAAATTGAATATAAAAATTTTTTTGAGAAGTTTATTAATCAAATTGAATAATTTTAACATTTAAATTCGTACTGTTTAGACGCGAATTAATTTATATTTATTATTTTTTCTTATATTGTATTATCAAATTAAATTCGTACTTATTAGACGCGAATTAATTTATATTTATTATTTGTCTTATATGTATTATCAAATTAAATAAATAAGAATCAATTTGTGAAGAGTTTTTTTTTTACCTTACAAGATAGCTAGTCATTTGATTTGTTATTCAAATTACTGATTAAACTAATTCAATACCTAATAACCTATCTAACATGTAGATTTGCTTTGATGTTTTTTTAATTCACAAATATCACGAAATATTGAAAAAACTAATATATCGCCAAAGTTTTATACGCATCGTATTTAGGGATTTTAACGGCTCGACCAGTCAGTTTCGGTCTGGTTTGAGAGTAAAATCGAACTGTAGACCGATTTGTAGACCGATTTGACATTGGAGTCTAGACCAAAATTTAGACCGGTGTTCATATATATTGTATAAAATCTTAAAATGATGAAATTAAAAATAATTGCGCGACACAAAATTTCAAAATTCCTAATCCAATTATTATTATAATAAAAAATAAACCAAAAAAAAAAAATCATAATTATACAAAAAAATTTTTTTTTGCGATCTATCTATTATCCGAAACTTTATCCCATCAAGCTTTTGACCTGAAAAATTTTTCGCCTTATTTTGCATCCCCACAATTTTACGCGACACGACATTTTTTTTTAATTAAATAGATTGATCGTGATAAGTCTTATGATTTGTGAATTATAAGACGCTTTTGACGCTACAGTATATCTTTAAATTGTGTCATGTAGATCGGTAAATTTTAAAGACATAAAAGTCTTTAAATTTATGTCGTATCAAGGTTTTCACTTTTCTGTCAATGATCGACAGCTGAAAAGTTTATTTTTGGCCAAAAAATTATGAATTTCGATACTAACTTTACTAACTTTTTTTTTTGGTTCTTTTTTTTTTTTAAAAAAAAAAAAATTAAAACTATCAGTGCGCAGAAACAAAATGCATTTACAAGAGTTTAGCTTTGAGGTTTTGGTAAATGATCAACCTTTACCAGAATATAATCTTCCAGTTGATGAGTCTGATGTAAGTTTTCTTATATACAGTACATAATAAACGAATTTCGGAAATGGTTTGAAATCTTTCACATTTCGGGAGGTATTATGTAACGTCACGTTTTGACGCGTTTTCAGACGTTCTCTGTGATATACTGCATTATTTTTACTAATTACAAAATTACTATTTCGCATGATTGCATTACTAATAGTTAAATAAGACATGCGTTTCTTACGTCACGGATCCTTTAACACAAACAAAAAAATACAGGTAGGTTGCTTTTTAATATCGTAAATTTTTTTTCTAATAAAAAATTTAAATTGCTTTTCCCATCTTTTCATCTTTCCCTTGAAAGCGACGTTACAACATATTTTCCAGTCATAAACCAAGGAGAATGCTACAAGATTAGGATTGAAGCTAAACAAGCGAACCCGTCCAACATCATAATCTCTCGTTTATATATAGATGGACGATCGGATCCAACGCAACTATTTCATCAACGATCAAGTTCAAGAACAAGGTCGTTATCCACTAATTTCTTTAAATCTAGCAGAGCATCTTCTAAACGTCTTAAAGTGCAAAATAAAAATCAATATGGAAAGCATGGTTCCATTGCAATATGTTTTTTCAGGGGGGTTATCGTTGATGATAATTCATTACAAAATCAACCTGGATTAGCAGACAGAGGATCAGACAATAATGAGAATGAGGATTTAGATTATACAACCGAATTTGATGTCAAGGACGCAAATATTCAACCTGCAACTGTAGCAAAAATTGTTAACTTAAAACCTATAGCTGAGTTACATCTTCATTATCGTTCAGAGGATTGGCTGACTAATAGAGGATTTTCGTTACCAATTTTAAGTGATGTCAATGGAGAAAAGGAAGAGGATGTGAATTTAATTACTGATGAAGAAAATAAAGTTAATGAACTTCCAAAGTTATCTCAAGTGCTCACGAAAATTGAAAACAACAATGTGAAACAAATCGACGAACCTCTGGAAATTGAAGCAAATGGGAACGATGTTAATCCAAAAGTCAACAAAAATGCAAAGAATTCTCAAGAGCTCATGGAAATTGATAAATTAATCGCTAAAGAAACAAGGAGACTTAATGACATTTCCCAGGAAATTATGGAATTTGAAAGGAAGAAAAAGGAGGATCAGATTATATTGAAAAGAGCTCGTGATGAAATTGATGAGATTGATAAGATTTAATTAAATGCGTTTTGATGAAAATGAATGTAATAAAACGGTCTTAGAAATGATGAATCGCGATGAATAATCCTTATATTGTTATTGCTCGGTAGTTATTTAACATAT